AACTATCGCAGCCATTGTCACTCCACTCTGTGGCAAGCAAGGAGCGGTGGCGATTGTCAGGATGTCTGGGCCATCTGCGGTTTCGGTGGCTCAAGCCATATTTCGTCCGTTGAGGAAGAAGAAGTGGATTCCTCAGAGCCACAGAGTGGTCTACGGTACGATCATTGAATATCCAAAGGAAACTATTATAGATGAGGTGAGCTCCAAACCATTTTTCTTTCTTTCCATTTTTCATTTGTATCTCCAGGTTATTATCGTTCCAATGCTGGCGCCGCGATCATATACGAGGGAAGATGTTGTAGAGATTCAGTGTCACGGTGGCGACGTTTGTGTTCGTAGAATCCTCGACCTTTGTCTTCAACACGGTGCAAGGCTCGCACAGCCAGGTTCGTTCGACTTGAAGCAAAAAACAGCGATTAACTGATTGTTCCGCTCAGGAGAATTCACTTTGCGCGCATTTCTCAATGGCCGGATCGATCTATCGCAGGCGGAGAATGTGGCGCAGCTGGTGTCTGCGAAGACCGCCTCGGCAGCAGAAACAGCGCTTGCTGGACTCCAGGCACGCAAAATATTTGTGACAATCGTGAGAAAGCTCTCCTCTCTGGTTTGAACTCGCAGGGAGGCCTGTCCAACTTTGTCCGTTCCATGCGCTCCCAGTGCATCGAGCTTCTGGCAGAGATCGACGCTCACGTCGACTTTGAGGACGAGCTCGCACCTCTCGACGTGGACAAAATCATGGAAGCCGTGGGAAGTGTCTCGGCGCAAGTGGAGCAAGCGCTGGAAACTGCCGCTCGGGGCCGTTTGCTCCAGTCAGGAATCCAGGTAACTCAAAAAGCTAGAAAGTTTCCCAACTTGGAAGCTTACATCTATTCGTACAGGTTGCAATCGTGGGACGTCCAAACGTGGGGAAGTCGAGCCTGTTGAACGGATGGAGCCAAGTAGGTACGTTGCGCTTTCGCTCTCATCAGTACCACGGAGCTAACCAGGGAGAGATTTTTCTTTCCTTTTCTCGCTAGAGCGAGAGAGCAATAGTGACCGACGTGGCTGGCACTACTCGCGATATTGTGGAGGCTGATGTTGTCGTGAGCGGTGTGCCAGTGAGGCTCTTGGACACTGCTGGGATCCGAATCACCGAGGACCCTGTGGAAAGCATCGGTGAGTACGATATGGGACTCAATCGCCATCTTACACTTAAAGAAACTTTGAGCAGGGGTACAACGGTCCCAGGCAGCTGCAACGGGTGCCGACGTCCTGGTCATGGTAATCAACGCTTGCGACGGGTGGACCACTGGGGACAAGCTCATCTTTGATCATACTCTACAACAGGTATCTTTTTTTCTTCGTCTCTACCAATTTCTTAATTCAATCAGTCCGGAACTTCCTTCTTTTCAGGCTCTTCGCGAGCAGCCTTGGATCCTGGTGATGAACAAGATTGATCAGGTGTGTGAAGGAGACGTAACCATACCGGAAGACGTGAGAGCAGCGTTCTCGGCCGTGGTGTCCACGTGTGCCGTCAAAGAGGCGCTCGACATCGACAAGCTAGACACGGCTCTAGCCGCCTTGATTGCTGCCGGGGGTGACGTCTTCTCGGCTGGCCAGCAACACTGGGCAGTAAACGAGGTAAGTTTGCGTAACAGACGTTTAGAGAGAGTGCAAGAGATTTAAAAGCTTTCAGGTACCTTTTTTTCTTACTGTGCGCTTTCTTCGTTCTCCAGAGGCAGAAGGAGCAGCTAATCCGAGCGAAACAGGCGCTGGAGCGGCTGAGGCAGTCAGCTCACGAGGAGCTGCCAGTGGACTTGTGGACCGTAGATCTGCGCGACACCATCCTGGCCCTGGGACAGATCAGCGGCGACGATGTGTCTGAGGAGGTTCTGGCGAATATTTTCAGTCGCTTTTGCATCGGGAAATGAATGCAGGGGATGAGGATCACAGGAACTTACAGGAAGAAATCAAAGAGAGGAAGAACAGAAAAGGAAGAAGAAGAAGAAGAGTGTACGGCAGAGCGAGCACCACAAATGCAGGAGCCTCACGTGAAAGTTAGGAATGTGGTCAGATCTTATGCAGGCCTCCTTCAAATATGGAAAGCATCTCTGCCTCTCTTTTTGCTTCTTTTATTTAAGAAAGGAACGTTTTTTTATCGGGTGATGGCTTGCTTCCCTGTGAGAACAAGGAGCACGACTACCTCACTCTCTGGACTGGTTCCCGTGTGACACGAACGGGTGACAAAAGGTGGCAAACTACAACACAGCAGTGGGAGAAAGAATTTATGTGCGCTTGATCTTCCGAATCACTGAGCAAGCAAGGGATGCAAGAAAGGGTCAGACATTGCTTTGAAAGAGGCAGCGGGTGGGAAGGAGGTCTCCTTCAATCTCTTCAATTCATCTTTCAAAGGGGGGCCATGCACAGGACAAGGGGACACATGAATGTCCAAGAGATATATCAAAGAGTTGGCGGGGGCAAGGAGAAAGAAAGAAAGACAAGAGCTTTTTGGAAGTGATACGCTCAACCTGGCTGGACTATGCAAGAAGATCAGAAGGGGAGCTTTTGCTGCGTTGGGATTGTTAAATGCAGCTCTGGGAAATTAAGGCGTGGAAGCCAGGACAGGCGGTTGTGTGTAAAAACAAGAGAGAAAGTGCAAACAAGAAAGAAGAGCACTGACCTGTTTTGTTTTGAGTTGAGCAGATTGATCAGGCTAATGTCTCCGGAGATATAGAGATCCAATCCATTCATCACCATGGTGGCGACGAGTTTCACGGGTTTCTCCGCTCGCCACCTTTTAAAGCGGCCTGCAAGAAGAAACGAAATCGCCATGAGTTACTTACGACATAAATTTCCCTCCAGGCCTGGGGGGAAATAACGGACAAGAAATGGCTAACATTTACGAAACTAGTTCCTCCCCGCAACAGGACGAGCAACGACGCCAAGCTATTTACGAGCACGGATACGCCAAAGATACATATTTACGCTCATGATCATCACTCCAGCCACATGAAAAAGAATGTGTGTTGTACCCGCGAGCTTGGCTTGCAAGATATACAATAAGAAACTCCAAAGCAAATGCAAGGGAAAAGAAGAAGGATTCAGCAAGATGAAAAGGAATTCATTTCAAGTTGCAACGCCACAGATCCATATGCATTCAATGGAGGAGCCAGAAGGGAAATTTATGCTCTTAAAGGCACAGGCCGTCGGGAGAGAGCTTCATGATTTGACTCCAAGCGGCCGGACACAGAGCCACAACCGCACCACCATTTAAAACACTAGAGCTCCAAGCGATCCCTCACTTCCTGAATCCTCCTCACTCTCCCACTGACCTTCACATTGGAGCATTTATGTTGTAACATACCACGCCCCACCTTCTGGCGCGGCCGAGGCATGGCCAGCGAGCAACAGTCCTCCTGCACAGTGGGGACGGGCAAGCAGAGGGGGAGTTAAAACAAAGTTCCAGAAGTTAAGGATCACTCACTGCTAACAACGAAAGGAAACAAAAAAACCACCTGATCCTAGCTCATGAACCACGAACTTGTAGATGCTCTGTGGAATCCACGGAAGCCTCTCCTTCCACCTCCTAGAAACAACGACGTGAGGATTTGGCCACCAGTCAGTAAATGGCGAAAAGGAGAAAAGGTCCAAAACTTAAAAAAAAACAAAACTTGTACCCGAGAGGCTCCACTTTCCTTCTGAAAGATACCTTCTCCACTGCTGTTTAGGCTACAGAGCACACCTATTAGCTGCAACGTTACCGTCCAAAAACCTGCAAAGAACAGGAAAAAAAGAAAAACACCTCGCTTTCGCGAGACAGACTAATCAACCAAACATACGGAAGCATCCTACCCATCCAAACGACATCAGCATCTGAACTGGGTGCGCTTACACGCATCTCAGCGCACCAGAGCGGCTTCTCGACTTATTGCGGATCGGCATCAGGTAAATTCCCTTCTTAAGCTTCCTTTCTGGTTATTAGCAGTTAGCATCCGTCTTCCTCTCCTCGTGGAAGCTGTGTCTGCGCCTGTGTATCACAAAGTTTACACTTTTCAATGCTGTATATAAATACATTAGACAACCTTTACCTTAGCAGCCAAAGCTTGGCTGACGCAAGAAAGTGTGACAGGATGAGGCAATGCGCTCCATGTGCGATCCACCACCTTAAGAACATCGCCATCCGTGGATTCATTGGGATCGGTCACCCTTACCGACTTGCTGTGCTTAATTATCCTGGAAACTCATCCCGTTCACAGCTACTGGATACAGGCTCAACTTAAAGGAAAGGAGCACGAAAAGCTTACCAAATTAAACATTGGCCGGATGGAATCTTTTATACCTCCTCCTCCGTTTGTTCGTCCCTTCGTCCCAAGACCATTTAGTTATGCTATGTCTTGCCTGCACACCCAAACGCACAACATGTGAGATTGAATAATACCTACAAGTACGAAAGTAAAGAGAATTACCTGGTTTCCAAGCAGGATTGACGAAAGTGCAATGCAATCTATGTACGCTTTGGAAAGCCAAAGGAGAAAGTGAGATTATAATAAAAGTGTGTGTAATGTAAACACCGCACCTTGAATAATCTATCTCCAAAGCCGTCTTTCGGCTTTGTATATGCGCAACGGCAGTTTCCCTCTCCGATACATGGGCTTAAAAGCCTCTCAGCTCAGATATCCGCCCTGCACAAACACAACAGACGCGCACGGTTCGGTGGTTTGTCACGAACGAATGAAGAGAAACAAAAACAATTTAAGAAAACGAAACGAGAGGGAGAGAGGAACGCAACAAACCATAAGCAGCTGACAAGAGCATTCACCACCGGCGAAGCAAAGTGGAGCCAGATATGTGAAGCTGCCAAAAACCAAACACCGTGGACATATGCCCAACATTAGGAACACAACAAATGCCCAACAACACGGAGCGCGAGAAAAGCGAGTCCAGACAAACACAAAGAGACCCTCCAGAAGAAGCTCGATCATATACCTGGTGTGTCCACGGAATTAAAGAGCTTAGATATAGAAAGAAAGAAGAGTGAAGAAGAACATTAAACAAACAAAAGAAAGAAAGCATCATACATACACTGGGATCCAGATCACACCGAGTTCTCCTCTCACACACAGCGCGCGAGCGCTGTTCTTGAGGAGCGAAATCTCCCAGCTCTCTTGCTCGCGAATAGATAGCTACCTCTCTCTCTCTCTCTTTCTTTCTCCCTCGTCCAAAGCCCCTGAAAGCACACCAGGGAAGCCCATCAGATCACCACGGAGCTCGATGGTTCTATATGTATATTCCTGTGTTGTTCTTCGTGTTGTAACTATGTACCCGGTCTCTCTGCGTTGAGAATTCCCCCGCGTCGTGGCTTCTCGAGTCGCAGCTTGGAACTTGAAAAAACTGCTGCAACGGGTATTCACAAGCTGTCCATGCGCGGGTTTTTCCATGATCGCAGCCGCTTTCTTCGCCTTCTGCTCATGCTGCATGATCTCCTTGATCTTGGACCTTCACCCATTCGAATCTTCCTGGCAAAGGACGCTCGTTGGCAACATCGAAGTTGTATCTGCGAGAAAGAAGAGAAAAGACGCATGGCATGAGATCCTTGAGCACAAAGACCCATCGAGTCTTGTCTACCTCTCCGTGAATAGCTTGTGCTGCACCTTGTCCATCTGGCCTTCGAGCTCCCCGAGAAACGCGTCCACTTCGTCGGCGCTAGGAGCCGGCAATCTCTCCGGCTTTATGCTCGCCAGCGTTGGCTTCGTGTAGACTGTCCGACTGGCTCTTCCCGTGACGCGTTTGGAGGCCTTGAGGAGGTTCCTGGGACCGTAGCGCCCGCCATAGCGACTGTGATGGAAGAAAAGAAACGAAACAAAAGCTCATGAATTTCTGTGAATTCTCGTCTTTGCAAGCGCAGATGTGTACCTCGAGCCCTCCTCCTCCTTCAACTTCAAACTGCTGATGTGCTCACGTTCTTCCGGTTGGAAGCGCTTCCTCTCCTGTTCCCAAAACGAAAAAAGAAAGCAAAGCCTCGTTAGTCCGGGATCACGAGAACGAAGGACACAATTCCCAACAAGAATCTCTCAGATCTACAAGGCAGTGGAGCAAAGTCACGAATCACGACCTCTTGCGGCTCGTCCGTGGTGTCAACGCTGAGCGTGGAGTGCGACGACGACGAGCTACACCCGGAAATCGATGTAAAGCCCGCCTTTTCGACGAATTCCTCCTCCCGACGGGATATTTCGGAGAGATCATCCGGCGCCGCATGGAATTCCAGGGCGTCGATGACAGAATCGAAATCGGCGGCGATATACATTGGATCGGCGCCAGGGACCTGCATTCTTACGGTATAGCGGACGGAGGATCGAGATCAAGGAGAGAAGAGGGAGGGGAGAGAAGAAATATTTCGCTGGCGCTCCTCGAGATAACTGAAGCCAAGAACAGAGTGATCGATCCAACTAGAACAAAGGAAAGAAGGATGCCGCACGCTCTCTCTATTCCCACATGCGCGCACTGCTACGGCGCCCTTACACCGCCCAGCGCCCAGTAGCTCCTGTCGAGATGCCAAAGCTATTACGCTCTAAATAAGAACCCTAAATTTCTCTTGAGGAGCCCGCCCGGAAAAACAAAGAAACGCCCTAAAAATAAAATGACGTCTTTAATGGTTGACCAAAAGCAAGACTGCCCCCCCGCCCTAACGAACTCAAACGGACGGCCCACGCTCGCCCCGCGGGGGCAACGTGGGACAAGCCACGCCCTTGGATGGGCCCAGGATATCCGTCTAGCCGGCAGGACAGGGACAGCACACATCATCAGTGACACGTCAGCGAAGCTCCCGCCAAAACCACACAGGCGGGAAGCGGGGAAGGGGGGAGGGCCCGTCCATGGCGTTAAGCAGGTGGGAGTTAATTTTGATAAGATCCAGGCGTTTTGGGCCATAGCATGGAAGCTAACTTGTAGTTAAAAAAGTGATTGTAATAGCAAGGCTAGGCTGACTGACGGAATGAGGAGATCGCCGTGAGATTGCCCAATGATGCATGGAGACGGCGCGTGACGGAGAATGCCGGGGATTGGGTGGCGGCATTGCATGTAAGTGGCATCGGAGTTATGGCCACGCCCGTCCGTGCGGCCCAAATTGACAATAATGGCCACCACGGGGTGGTGAGCTCATCTATCTGGAGTGACAAGACCAAGCAACAGAAATTTAGGGATTGTTTGGTTTTGGTTGTAGTAGCAGTGTGTGGAAGGAAGGAAAGGATAGAAAAATCATAAGGTGGAAGGAAGGAAAGCCCTTTAGAGGCATGATGTTTGCGTGTAAAATGGGGCGGTGTGCCCAATTGCCCAAATGCCCGCTACTATTGCTGCTCGCCCGGAGTTGGCCAAATGATAGTCGCTGCTTCGACAAGTCTGGCACCTCAAGGGTTTAGATCTCCCTGGAGCCACAATTGAGTGTCACAAGTGGAATGCATCATACATTCTTGGCACTGGAGAGGTAGAGCAAAGAAGAAGAAGAAAATTTAAAAAGTCAAAAATCAAAAATCAAAACCCCATTGGAAGCAAGAAACAGAGAAATAATAACTTCCAAATTTCCAAAACAGAAACCACCCAAAGCTAATTGAATCATGCGCAGCGTGACAATCTCGCCTCGGTGGCCGGCATGATGGATGCCCCCAAGGCGGCATCGCGTGGAATATCCGCGGACCGACTAATAGTACGCTACACAATCAAGAGGTGGTGCCTTGTTTAGATTATCTCTAGGGCAACATCACAAAGATCTGCTGCCCTGTCCTGGCTCGAAACCCCGCGAAGAACTGGGCAAGCAAACACTAGTACCATGCGAGTCGTTAAAAGGTGCTAAAGGTGGTACCACCTTTTCATATACCCCACCACCATGCAAAAGTTTTGTTTGCATATATAAATGTCCCGCCACCTTTTTCCAGTATATGATATTTTGCCTGGCCTTGAATGTGGTGTCAGGCGTGAGGGTTTCTCATCGTTGAGCTATATGTACGGAGTGGACGAGTAAAGCTGGTTAGCCTCGCTTTTTGACCCGCTGCCATCTTCACTTTTTACCACCGGCAATCGGTTGATTTGTTTCGTGAAGCTGTTATATACCGTCAACGTTCGTCGGTCAACGTTCAACGCACTTACAACACCTTTCGTCAAACGCTGAATTTTTCTTGTTGTTTTGAAAGTTCGCCGCGCAGATCTATCTGTAGAACATGATGCCTGGGGATCGCGAATTAACAGCCTAGATGAGAGAAACTATAATTTTTTCCTTGCTAGGCGATTGAACAGTCGGACACCCGATCTCAATAAGCCTGAGAGACTGAGCAGAGCAGACCAATTAAAAAAAAAATTCTCTAAAGAAGAGGAAGAAGCAAAGATTACATTTTGCTGCCACCACTAGGAAGCAAGGCTGCAGCGCTCACCCACAGCTTTAATGTTTGCGAGCAATACAGTATTGCCTGGAAATCTCTGTATGAAAAAACCGGAGATCATAAATAATGGAGGGAGAAGAAGCAGCAGACTGAAAGAAGAAAAAGATAGAACTCCAGAAAGGAAAGAAAAAACTCTGGCAAATCTTCAGGGTGGCCTACACTGCGCTTGGAAAACTGGCAGCATGAGTTTTCTAACCGCTGTGTTGATGGCGATGGCGAGCGCGTCGGACTTTGAGCCGCCAACGTCCACCACCTTGTTCTCTTTGTCGTCGGCCTCGTCGCTTAGAAACGTATGATCGTCCACCGTGTCAAAGTAATCCGGGCCTAGAAAGCTCGGCGACTTTGGAGGAGGGAGCCTCTTCTCGCCGGGAGGCTGCGGACAGCACCCCCGACCACACTGCGTCGGCACCTCGGGTCCGGTAAGTCCCCACAACGGGCTGGCAAAACGCGAAATGTTGTAAGAGAGTCCACCGTGAGGAAACTCGCCTCTGGTAAAGTTTGCGTTAGAGCTCGAGTTGAATCCAGTCGGATCCACCGCTTTGTAGCAGCTGAAGGCGCTGGCGGAGCGAGGAACCGGCTTCAAGACCGATGGGGGTCCCTGGAACGCCGCAGCAACTCCGGTTTGCATGCTTTCCAGACTTTCCATAGCCGAGGAGGTGGCAGCATTGGCGCTGGAAGTGATCCCTCCTCCTCCTCCTCGCTCTCGCGACTCGGGGTTCACCACCTTGTAAACGATCGGTTTCTTCACTGCTGCTGCGGGAGGTGGCGGCGGAGGTGGCGGCGCTGGAGCCACCGACACCGATGATCTCGCCGCTCGGTTTGCCGGAGTTACGTCCAGAGCCAGCGACGAGGCGGCGGTGGTGATCACCTTGCAGCTGGCCTTGATCTTGTCGAGCGCCGCGGCGGAATCAGCAGTGGTGAGTTTGGATGATCTCGCGTCGTAGATGGTGGTGGGACGCCGCCCCAGCTCCTCGAGCGCGTACTTTCGACGTAGAGTCGAGTTCCAGTGGTTTTTTATGGCGTTGTCCGTCCTCCCGGGCAGCATTCTGGCAATGGACGCCCACTTGTTGCCATGGATAGCGTGTGCCTTGACAATGGCGCGATCCTCCTCCTCTACATTTAGCAGCGCGCCAGTTAGTTTAGCGGAGGGACACGCAAAGACTTTAGGGTTCTTGGGAGGGGGAGCAAGACAACGAACTACTCACCAGTGAAGGGTTTTCTCTTGACAACAGGATTGAGCTGATTGCACCAGCGCAGGCGGCACGATTTTCCCGACCGGCCCGGAATGCCGCGCGCGATGGAGCTCCAATTCCGCGCCCCAAATTTCTCCACCAGGCGGCTCAGCACCGCGTCCTCCTCGGGCGACCACGGCCCCTTGATCCTGTCCACGCTCGGAGCTGGAGCGCTGGGATTCTGATCCATTACCAGCTGGGATTGTGGGGCGGCCGCTGGGATGGGTGCTGCTGCGCCATCGCTGGGCGGCGCCGCCGCCATCGCCGCCGAGGAGGACAGGGCCTCCTCCATGGCCGCCGCCGACTCCATTGCAACTAACTAACACCCTCTACAGTGACAAACCCCCATTTCAACCCAGCCGGACAACCGCATAACTAAAATTAGCGGTTCTTCTTCTTCCATTTCCTAGTTAGCTTAATCTGCGTTTAAATATAATTAAGTGTCTAAATGATGCTTAGACTAGAACCCTAGAACCCTTAGAAACTAGTATTTGGCCATGAGTAATGCTGTGCTCTCCTCTGTGCTCTCGCATCCATTCTGTCCAGAGGTAATCGCCCCAGATTCGAGAGCGCTCGAGCATATCGACTCGATTTTGGCCAGGTTTGCGATGCCGTCGAGGAGCTATCGTCCCATTTCTCGCGAGTGGATTGCCTTGTGGCTTCCAACATGAGGCGCGTCCTCGGGGCCTATGCAAACGCGCGCATTGGGTCGCAAGTAAGTGGTTTGCTCGTTTTCTTTGCAAGGAGCTTAGATAGATTTTGGTGGAGCGCGCAGCACTTCAGTGGCTCTACCGGCTATGGCCACAATGACGCTGGTGGCAGAGAGGCGTTTGATAAGGCTTTTGCCGAGATCTTCCGCGCTGAAGCAGCGATCGTGAGGCCACAGGTGCTTGATCTTTATAGCTTTCACTGCTTTCGAACTCTTTCAATGGGTGGGTGTGTGTGTGTTTTTCACAGTTTTTCTCAGGAACTCACGCGATCGCTTCAGCTCTTTATGCTGTTCTCCGGCCGGGTGACGAGGTATCCAGCATTTATGTCTTTTTGTTCTTGTGTTTCTTCCTCGGCATTTAACTTTTCTCATCAGCTGTTATCCGTGGCAGGAGCGCCTTATGATACACTCGAGGAAGTTATTGGCTTGCGAGGATCAAAAGGCCATGGATCGCTCAAAGAATTTGGGATCAGCTACCGCGAAGTGCCAGTAAACTTTCTACTTCTTCCTAGTTTTGTTCTTCCTTTTTTACAACCATGAAACATGAAAACTGTGTTCACAGGTTACTGCTAAAGGTTGTCTTGACAAAACTGCGTTGGCAACATCTGTAACAAAGAAGACACAATGTGCCTTCATCCAAAGATCCTGCGGCTACTCGTGGCGAGAGACCTTGTCAATATCTGACATTCAAGCCGCAGTCACTCTCATCAAGGTAGCTCCGAGTTTGTAATTCCCGGCTTCCTAATTTTCATTCAACCAGGACCAAAATCCAAGCTGCGTGGTAATGGTTGACAACTGCTATGGAGAGTTCGTAGAGACCGTAGAGCCTACTGCCGTGGTATGGTTGTTTCTTACTACCTTTCGGAATGCCAGCGCTTCGTTTTGTTTTGTTCTAGGGAGCTGATATCGTCGCTGGAAGCTTGATAAAAAATCCCGGTGGTACAATCGCTCCTTGTGGAGGATACGTCGTTGGAAAGGCCGAGCTTGTTGCAGCGGCTGCTGCTCGGCTCTCTGCTCCAGGCATTGGAATTGATGCCGGGTCGGCTTCTGGTGATATCATGCGTTTGCTGGTGCAAGGACTCTTCCTAGCACCTCAAATGGTCGGGGAAGCCATCAAGGTAGAAAACTCTCGTTTTCCGTTTTTTTTCTCTCAGATATATGTACGTTCTATTTGTGGCAGGGTACACTGCTTGTAGCTGAAGTTCTAGCTAAAGAAGGCTACAAAGTCAGGCCGTCACAACGTGCCAAACGCTACGACACGATACAGGTTGGTGGCTCTAGATTGATAATTTGATTTTTTTTTTTTTGTTCCTTTCGCTGATGGAAGTGATTTTCCAGGCTGTAGAACTGGGAAGCCGAGAACGGCTACTAGCATTTTGTGCCGCTGTTCAGCAATGCTGCCCGGTTGGAGCATATATTAAACCCACGGCTGGCGTGACCCCTGGCTATGAGTCCGAGGTAGCGTAAAGTTAAAAAGGGAGAGAATCCTTTGTTTGAAGCGCTTCATTCTACTTTCCAGGTTGTATTTGCTGATGGAACTTTCATAGATGGAAGCACGAGTGAGCTCTCCTGTGATGGTCCTTTGAGGGAGCCTTTCATCGTCTTTTGCCAGGTAATCTGTTTTACAGGTAGCGTTTTCTTCACGCATATCTAATGTTTTTCTATGCATTTTTCTGGCAGGGAGGCACTCACTGGACTCACTGGGCTCTCACACTGGAGAAAGTTTTGCAAGCACTAAGAAAAGCTTGATCTGATCACAAGAAGCACGCACCTTGCAAAGAACACTCTGACAGCGAAATGGTTGCTCAACAAAGTATGTGATGTGAGTGTTTTTATTATTTTATTTCCACAGGCAAAAAAGAATGTCCTTTAAAGTCTCCTTTCTCGCTTCCTTTCTCGTTCGATCATTCCCTGACTTGTACCCACACTGCAGTGCTCGGGATCCCCTGGTTGACAACAAACAACATATAGTACGCCTGCGGAGCCAAGTTCCCGGTGGGAGGCCCCGTCCCGGTTATGGTGTAGGTCCTATCTCCAATCGAGACCGGGGTCGTGGAGGTCAAATGCACCAGCCGCTGGCCCTGCGAGTACGAGTGTGTGGTAAAGGGAGCACTGACGAGGCTAACCTCCAGCGTCCCGGTCACAGGCAGCGGTACAGTCACAGTCACGGTAAACTCAAGCCCGTAGAAGAGCACAACCGGGGAGCCGATGATGGTCGGTCTCAAGCTCGCCAAGCCTTCGCTCAGGTACTCCGGAGAGAAGGTCTCCACGCGCAACTCGGTCGGGAAAGACCCGGTGAAAGTGTAGTAGTAGTGAGTGTTGCTCCCAGCGATGAGCACCCGAGCGTCCGGCAAGAGGTTGGCGGTGGAGTGGTACATCCTGGGGATGGAACTCGGGTTCAGGACCATGAATCTCAGGCCGTCGGGACCAGCGGGCTTGTAGAGCACGGGGTTTAAGCAGGGGATATCGGACAGGCCGAAGCCTTGGGAGCCGGCTTGAGCTCCGTTGATGATGAGCACGTCCCGGGAGGGGAGTAACACCATGTCTCCCATGTTTCGCTTGAAAGGCATGGTCTCCATCTTCCAGCGGGGTGACGGGTCCGATACCGCGAGCCGGCCGCAGGTGTCCAGCGCAGGGATCTTCGCCTCGGGGTTGAGAAACGCTCCAAACTGGGAACCGCCGCAGATGAGAACTTCCACCGCGGTGAAACCGTCGGCGGCGGAGAGGGGGAGCAGCACGGAGGAGCCGCCAGAGGGGTAGTTCCGGGGGCCGCCGGGGATGGCCGGGAACTTACGTAGCACCGCGTTGCGCTTGTAGTCGTAGAGGATGGAGTCGCGGTTGGCGAAGACGAAGAGGTTGCCGTCGGGGAGGAGATGGACGTAGGGGTAGAGGTTGTCCATCTGCATGTCGCGGGTGGAGCTCAGGAACGGGAAGGTGACGAGCTCGTCACCGGGTGACGGAGGCACGAACTCGAGCGTGAAGCTGTCGCGGCCGCCGACGACGATGGTGCGACCATCCGGGAGGAGCTGGTTCGTGGCGTACCAGCGTCCTGCCTTGAGGGACTGGTCGCTGGATTCCACCCAGTCGCAGGCGCCCGGCTCGGGGCACGGCACGAAGTAGCGGAGCTTGCGGTTGCCGTCGAAGTCGCCGCCGGTGTGGAGGAGCGTGCCGTTGGCGGTGAACTGCGCGGAGGAGCACCAGGTGTCGGTGAGGATGGTGAGCGGGCGGACGGCGGCGGTGGCGACGTCGATGATGACCGAGTGGGCGGAGCAGTCGGTCTGGAGGGACTTGTCCGCGGAGTCGCGGCGGCAGCGGTTGTCCGTGAGGCTGATCTTGGAGGCGCCGATGTCGGTGCGGTCGAGGAGGAGGACGGTGCCGTAGTGGGTCACGGCGGTGTGCATGGAGGCGATGCCGGCGTTTGGGACGAGGAGCTGCCAGGTCCCCGGGAGCTGTGACTTTGTGGGGTTGGGATTGACGAGTAGCAGCAGCAGCAGCAGCAGCAGCGAGAGGGAGATTGTCCTGGGCGAGCATTGCTGCTGCTGCTGCTGCTGCTGATGCATTTCCTTCTTCTCCTCCTCCTTGCAGTGGCGATGGGCATATCAAGTCTTGGGTGTTCTTGTGTTCTTCCTGTTCTATGATTGAGCTACTTATTTTCTTTCTCTGCTTCCAAGCCTTTCCCTTCTAGCTAGGAGGTACTCACAGGACGTAAGGATCTAATCCTGGGAATCGATCGTTTTGCTCTGCTTCCTCTGCCTGCTCTGCTCTATCCAGATCGGGAATTCGGGACGCAATGTCCAGGCTCTATCTTCGCTGCTGCTCTATCTTCGCAAGTAAGAGATTGCAAAGAATGGCGACTGTAAGAAAGGAGCCGGCACGGGAAAGAAGAGAAACAAGTCAAGGAAAATCGAAGAAAAAAAGAGAGAAGAGGTAAAGCTTTGGACACTCTTCCATAATTTAATCACCTTGTCATCGTTAAAGCTAGTCCAAAGGCAAAGAGACAGGGTACACCTGAAAGTTTGAAACGAGGAACGAGGAGCATCAGCACAACGGGCGAAAGTTTATGGGGCCGGTTCTGCTTCTTCCTCTATCTCTTTTTTTAATGTTGGCCGCAGGAGATTTTCAAGACGAGAGAGAGATTGGGAAAGCTATTCAAGGAAATGACACCCTGCCACCACTACAATTGCTCTGTTCTGGAACACAGAGAGAGAGAGAGAGAGAGAGAGAGAGAGAGAAGGGGGCGCGGGCAGCCTGAGTGGTGGTAGCTTGATGGCAGCCTCCGAAATTGAGGCTGCCATCAATCACAGCACTTCTATAATGCTTGATGATGCTTCGATTTATATGTGCTTAAACGAAGAGCAAGGTTTGAAAGTCAGTAGCATCCCTCATGCCACTGGCACCTCCCAGCTTTTCTTCGTCCATCTGTCCGTCCACAAAAAGTATCACCCCCTAGATCATTCTTTTGCTTCTGTTGAGATCTTAAAGATTTGGGCTCGAACAACACCACCTGGCAATACCACAATGAGCACTAGCTCTCTACTCCCATTGCACGATTCTTATTGGTGTAGTGACCATTAGCGTCGTTCTAGCATGCGCAACAGGAAACACATTTTGACACTGAAAAGTGAAACGAGCTGTTTATTAAAACAATACATGTTGTTACCTACTTGCTATTCCTATTTAGTATTATTTATCAAATCTATCTGAAATGTTTATAATTTTATTAACATTAGATAGTAGAATAAACTAGAGTATACTAGGAAGTGTTTAAGTCTATAAACTATAAACACTGGGAAAATAGATGTGGAAATTAAAAATAATATGAAGTTTTATTTGAGTTTAAAATTCAATGCTACTTAATAATATTAAATGGAAAGTCACAAAAATTATTTGCATAGATTTTTTTCAAAGCTCTATGGAACAAGTCACTTGCACAGCCCTGTGAAATTTATTGCAGCTAGATAGCTTGTTTTCTTTTGTATTTCCATTTTAAAAATAACATACATTATTCTATCAAGCTTATCATTTATGAGTGAAGTGTTAGTATTGCATTTTTCCTCTTTCTTTTGTGTTATAAATTAGATTGTTAATAGTAATCTGATATTTCATTTATAAATAAAACTATAAAAAAAATATATTATTAAGAAAAATTAGAAGTTGCCTAGCTTTATTTTTAATGTTGACTCAGTAAAACTAATATCTTAATAATTTTTGTATACATCTACAAAATTTCTAGCAAAATAAAAATGAAATAGAAAAAAGCTAGTTAAAGGAGTAACATTATCAAATATTTTTCTAGTATAAAAAAAAGATTTAATATTTTAGATTCTAAGAGTATTGTATATATAAAGTTTAATAAATTTTAAGACATGGTTAAGACTATTAAATAGGATGCCATTTACTCAACACTAAATTATCATCTAGATTGTAATCATTTATGCATATTTTTATTTAGTAATTATTTAAATAAAATAATAAAATATCATTAGAAAAATATTTTTTATATTTTGGAAACTTGATAGTTTCTAAATCCATCATAATATAAATCAAAAAACTTTTTTTCATAAAGGTTAAAGAACTATGAAATTATAATTTAGCTAAAATATAATTTTTTAGAGAGTTGTATAGTCTAGTATTATAAAGAAAATTAAGCATTTTATTCTTTTTCTCTCTATCTATTTCATGAATTTAATTAAATGGATTTTTATCATAAAGACTTTAAATGCCTAACTTGCATTTACATATTTTGATCCAAAGTGGAATTTAGTCTAAGATTTTGCCAAAAAAAACCTAAGGATATTTGGCACTTGCCTCATTAAGATTTGATTAGAGAATAATTATTTAGTATAGATAAATGGTGTCTCTATTTGCTATTTCTGTTGCAATTAGGTGGCTTGGCTGCATGGGCATGAGCGAGATCTAAGTGATGACACTAGAAGATGCCTTGGCTGAAAGGGAAGAAGGTTGAGCTGAAGTCCTCACCAAGTGAGGACAAAGAGGCAAGTGTTCTAGATGCAATAGAGTCACCATCTTCACCTTTGCAAGAAGTGTTGCAATCCTTCATGTAGAGGTATGTGAAAAACCATCAGCAAGATCAAGAGAGGCTACAACAGATCCAACGTTCTTTATCTCTTTTGGAGCATTCTTGGGCCTTTCAGTCGTCCAAGATTGAGGAGATCCATGACCAGCAGCAATCTTTGGCAGATTGCTTGGAGTGGTTAGAATCTCGAGCTAAAGGATGAAATGGATAGAAACTTAAGACTCATTATAACATCTATTTCAATGTTGTCTATCCGGTGATCCAAAAGGTCATCCATTGTTTCAGTGATGAAGATTGGTTCCAAGATTCGAGCCCAGAGGCTGATCTGTTGGATAAGATGAAAACTCCAGCACCAGATTCTGAGACCAAGGGGGTGCTGATGTTCGAGTGGCCTACGAGGGTTGGAAGCATCGGGACAGACATCAGGTTCCCACTGGCAAGATTGTGAGAAGCTGAACATTCCAGAATATGATGGAGAGAACGATCATCTCAAGCTCCAAGATTGGCTGTGTAAGCTGGAGTGATGCTTTGTTTGGGGGGACACGAAGAACGTGGACAAGGTTCCTTTTGCTTCCATCTTCTTCAAAGATCTCGCTTTTTCCACAACTTGAAGAGAGTGAGAATCTTTCCAAACTAAGAGCAATTCAAGACGATGAAGATGACAATTCAAGAACAAACTCTATGACCTATATTATGACTGGCAGCACCAAACTCATCAAACCTTCAACACCACTTAGTTGTGGGCTCGTTACGAAGTGGTGGGGGTTTCTAATGAGATTTTGGCCTAGCAGTATGTACCTGCTCTACCATCTTCTATGGCGATATGGTGCAGACAAAGGC